GGGCTGGGCCTGAAAATTTTTTTTAAAAAAAAAATCCGGGCCGGGCCATTTTAAAACCAAATATTTGAAATCGCCATTATTAGTAGCTATAAAAATCAAAAATAAATATAATATATTTTAAAAAAATCCGGACCGGGCCCCTGAAAATTTTTTTTTAAAAATAGCCGGGACAAGAATACCGTAAAAAATTTTTGAAAAAAAATGGCCGGACCGGGTCCAAATTTTTTTTTCAAAAAAATCCAGGACGGGCCTTGCAAATGGCATCTCTGCATATCTCTGATGTCATCTCATTAAATAGCGAGTCAGAATTCACATCAAATATTGTACATAGAGGTAGCCATGGGGCAGGGAGAAATTTCCTTCTCAGAAGTTTTTATGTTCTCAAAAATATCATTTCAAACTAATAAAAATGTCCACCTTACACACAACTACTCCCCTCTCCCTCCAAAATATCAATATATTAATAAACAATAATTTGAAAGTCATTTTAACAATAGTGACATGCTCAACTTGGGTTGCCTCGCTTCTGTTTTTATGTTTATGAGATTATGGCTTTTGTATAAATAGGGATAAAAATAAAACAAAAATGGGGATTTATTTTTCTTAACTGATTTTACGTTGAAAGATTATTCTTTTTAAAAATTTGCATGTTAAATTTGTTATATAAATCAGGGTTGTGCATTTGACCGATCAAATATGTTTCGGTTGATCAAATTCAAATATATATTTTTTTAAGTCAATATTAACTTTATTTTGAATTTATAAATCCATAATATTAATTTTTTAAATTCATTGTCATTCAATAACTAACGTTTAGCTCTCTGTAGCAGTCTTGTTCTGATTCATATTCAATATTATAACTTTCTTTAATATTTTTTAATCAATTTTCCTGATGTCGAGATCTTTCGATTTCTATTTTCTCATAAAAATATTAACCCAAATCGACCTATTTCTTTCTAAAGAAGAAGTAGAATTAGAAATTGTTAGCCTCTTAATGGGTATGGCGAGCAAAGTTTAATCTATTAACTGAGGTCGGAATTGATTGTTTCTTGTGGAGATTTTTTCCATATAGTTTATTATTAAACATGCTGCTTTTGCTTCTGAAATTAATTATATCACTTAAAATATTTTGGTCATCACCACCTTGTAAAATGACTAATTCTTGGATTATATCATATACTTCATTGAATTCACTACTAGTGAGATGATCCTCTTGATATTGGGGACCCAAAAAATAAGCAACATTGTGATCACATAGTATTTATATCGTTTTTTTCTTTTTTAAACATGTTTTTAATTTTTTTTTCTTTAGAATTTTTTAGAGTATTTGACTAGTTAATTGACTGAATTTGACCGTTCAATTGATCGACTTGCCAACCCTGATATAAATAATTAATAAAAAAATAAACTTAAACAACTATCTGAACCCTCTCTTATCCACGCTTTCACGATGTGGGCCCATTTCCATTCCCTAAAATTAGTTGAGATGAAAGCCGCATTTATATGGCGGTGCAGAGAAATCTGTATTTTTTTCAAATTAAAGTAATATAGAACGAAAGCCGTATCCATAATGCAGTGTGGAGAAATCCGTTCCTTCCATTTTAAAATTAATCTAGAATAAAATCCGTATTCATAATGTGGTGTGGTGGAAGCCGCCACGGTCATAAAATATGGGACATAGTTGTATAATAAATAACTATGGTTCAACTAAGATTTAATTGGTTACAGACGCAATCCATACTTTTTATTTAACCAAACCCTTGCTGATCCGGGGGAGAGACTATTATCGTCTTTATAAACAGTGTAGAAAGATTTAGTTTCAGCAAGATGACCAAAATTACCATAAAGCCGGGTCACTCAACCACGGACCATCAAACTTAGTCACCCTACCCCACTGGGAAGCCTGCCTATTCTTTCCTTAACACATCACCTACAATAGGTGGGCCAATAAAATTTATGGAGCAAAACACACATAGTAGGGTTTTCCCCTAGCAAAATCCAGGATATGGCTATGATTCTATATCTGCCAGATTCATTTATCATTATTAACTAGTGCTGTAAAGTAACGTCAAAAAAGTAACGTCGTTGCCACTCATTATTTTCTTCTTGGGGTAACGAGCAATGGCAACGCGTTTCTTTTTTTTTGAGTAACGGTAACGAAAAACGTTACTCGTTACTTTATATTTTTATTAAAAGTATCATCAAAAAGAAAAATATATTTTATTGTATTATAAAATTAGTTTTATTTATTTTTTAATTCTTAATATTGATAATGCTGTTTAATTCCTTCATTTTTATTTTAAATTCTCGTTGTTAAATTTTCTGTCGATATTAATAATCAATCAAAATTCAAAGTAAATGTTAATAATGATATTATTATTCTTATAATTTATTTTAAGAATATTATGTCCATAGTACTTGTTTCTTCAGATGAAGATGATTTAACCCTTCCTTGGCCCATTTTGATATATTTTAAACCAATAAAGAAAATTAATGGTACCAAGTCTACACTTTGTAAATGTAAATTATATCCCAACGCAAATATTTCAACCTCAATATCCAGCAGTTCAAACTTAAAAAGCATAGGTAAAACATGAATTAATATATCATTATTTTAAACATTACTTTAATAATAGAATAATATTCTTTCATAATTTGAATAGCTTAATCATGGAATTAAAATATAAGTAGGGCTGTCCAATATTAAATATCGGATCGGCGCCCATATTTATCGTTTTCCAAAAATATCGGATCGGGCCGATACCTGAAAATACCGATCCGATTTTTTACTTTTCTTTTTTTGTTATTTTATGTTATGTACATTTATTTTATGTTTTTATAATATATTTTAAATAATTTTTTTTAAACAATGCAAATGCACAACACCCTCTAAATTTTATTTCTTTTTTAAAATAGATTTATAGTAATTTAAAAGTTTTTTTTATAAAAATAGAAATGAACACCCAAAGTTTTATTTATTTTAAATCTTTTTAAATAATAACGCCAATTTTATTATTTATACTTTAAATAAAAGAATTTTTTAAAATATGGTATCTGAATTATGGAAATATTTTACAAAAGACAAGGATAATTTTGCAAAATGGTTACGGCAGGGGATATAGATACTCCATATCGTAGAAGCTTATTGCCAGAAAATCTAGAGGCTCTCGTATTTATTTTAAAAAATCTAATATACTATAATTTTATATATTAAATATTACAATTAATTCATACCAACATATAATGAATATATTATCAAATATATGTTTTTTTTAATTATAGTCTCAAGTAGAAATAAAGAAATTAAATGCATAATTTGATTTTTATTGATTTCTTAATTACATTTGGTTCAGGGGGGGGGGGTGAAAAATCAATATAAATATCGGATCGGTATCAGTATCGGGTTTGAAGCAATATCGGATCATATAGGTGAAAAATATGTGGATCGGCACAGCCCTAAATATAAGCAATTAAATTATACTACACAGTATTGGGCTGGGAACCAACATTAAAAACCCAAGATTAACCAATATTGGTTTTGGTTCAAAGTATTATATTGAGTTTTTTAAACAATATCTTCTATTTCTTGTTTTAGTATTGCTATTGGTTTGACTATAATTGTTAATAAATTTAAAGAATAATTTAAAAACTTTGTTTAAATAATATATATATATAATATATATGGAATAGTGGCGTAGCCAGGATTTATCCAATAATAAAATTTTACAGAGAATTTCATTATAGAATTTATTTATTATTAAAATACTATATATAACATCCCATTATTTAACCAGCTGTGTTGAGCACTAAGCGCTCTTGTTTACCTGATCAAAATTTTGAAATCAATTGTTGCTAAAAATAAATAAAAAATTGATACATAAAGATGTTATCTTATAATATATTATTTTTGTATAATTTTATTTTATTATATATTGTTGGAAAAAAATAAATATTATTTTTGTATATGTATTTAATTTTTTCAAGTAACGAGTAGCCCGTTACATTTTTAAAAAGTCGGTAACGCGCGTTCCTTTTTTGAAAAGTAACGAGTAACGGTAACGCGTTCCTTTTTACAGATGTAACGATTAACGCGTTTCTTTTTTGTAGTAACGTTTACAGCACTAATATTAACTATATAAAACGTCAGCATAAAGGCAGATAATCAAAATTTTAAATTAATAAGCTTAATTTATTTTATTATATATTAAATAAGATTAATTTTTTGAAAATATTTGCATTTTAATCAGTAAATAGTTACTTTTAGCAGTTACATTCCAAAATAACTAGAATTCAGTTATTTTTCCAAAAATGTAACTAGTTACTTTTAGCAGTTACATTCCAAAAGATACAACTAGAATGTAATGAGTTATTTTTTTGCAAAAATGTAACTAGTTGCTTTAATAACACTAATAATTTTGTTATAAAATTTTCAAAATGTTACTACGATTGCTACTAGTGCTTCAATATTTTTCGTTGTCTTATGCCAACTAAAATTTGGGGCTATGAAACCAAATCAGGCAACAAAAATTGTTTAGCTGGACATTTTGAGAATACAGCATTGATTTATGGACAATCCAACTCAGGATAATTTTGGAAGGACTGGCTCGGAGTCTAAGGAAATAGGTTCCAATTAGTTTCTATTAAAATTTCCACTAAATAGTTTAAAATTCCTAAACCAAAATTTCTCAAGTAACACATACTAATTAAATACTGGCTACTAAATTAAGACACTCTTTCATAAGTACAGATCTTAGTGTTTCTAATAATGAAAGATTAAGCAAAATAAAACAAACTAATAGAACATATAAGAAATATTTTAAACAAATCCATAATTTACCACAAATAACCAGCCAAATGCCAAGAAGAGTTTGAGACAAAACCTTTTCCTCCAAAATTAATCATAAAATCCTGGGTGGGTATGCCTCCTATATTAACAGTGTCTCAACAAACAAAGCTTTTATACAATCAATGATTTAACTCCAAAATGTATAATTGTAATTTTATTTTTATAACTATATCTATAAATAAATAAATAGGAAAATTACAATAAATTCCTAAATGACAATTAAAAATACATCATATAAGAGATCAGGTTGATCATCACCATTGCACAATCTTCCTTTAATATTTTTGTTATTTTCCACAATTATTTAATTATATGTAATTTAAAACATGTATATAAATATTATCAAAATAAATTATTTTTGATATAAAATATTGAATCTAATAAATTAAAAAACGATTTATATATTTTAAACAATGAGTTATAGAGGGCAATTCAATTAATAATCTCAATTGGTTAAAAATTAGACATACATAATCATAATTTATATCTATAAATTTAAATATATTATGTTTTGATATCAATTATTTAAATAAAAATAGATTATGAAATAAAATTGCATAATGAATCACAGACCAAAATTAAAAGAGAAAATGAGTGAAGAAATGACATTGTCTTATCTATAGTAAAAAAAGATTGCATAAAAAGATAATTTTAAATATTAGTTAAATACTAGCAAAATGAGAATTTTTATATTATAACACATCTGTAGAAAATATAATCAATTGGCAACTAGTAAATGTTGAAGATTATTTGTCATGACATCAATGTTGTTTAATAAGTTATTATCAGTTGAAGTTGTTGTATTAAATGTATTCACCTTTTCACTCATTACATTTAGTGGTAAAAAATTGCAGGTCTGATTATCTTTTTCATTATAAGGTGAATTCATATTATTTAAAAAATTGGAATTTCTATAAAATTCACCATTGTAATCATTTTCAATAGCATGTAAATTATCTTCACTTAGTGGAATTTGATAATTCTCATTCTTGTAGGTGTTAGAATTTAATGGACTTTCATATAATTCAGTAGCAACATTAAAATTTTCTTCATTTACAAAATTTGAAGCAGGATAAATAGATTGAGTTTGGTTTGGTGAAAAATTAAGACCTCTTCTAATATTCCCCATTGAAGAATTAGATGTATTAGAATTTAATTTAGGATTAATTGGAAATTGTTGATAATATGGTGATGATGTTCCTTTATAAAAGTTAATACTGTTATTTCCCATTTTCTTCCTGTAATTTTGAGATTGATACTGATATTTTGATGAAGTTGACATAAATTTATAGTTTAGTTTATTAAAATGAGAATTATTTGGCTGATTAAAATGTGTATTTGAAGGATATTGATGAGGAAATGAAGGTGGTGGTGTTAATGCAATATATTGACTACCTGAATTAGAAAAGGAATGATCTTTTGAGAAATTATAGTTATATTGGTTTTTAAATAAATATGTAGGAGATGCAGTAGGGGGTCGGCTATGATTAGATATGTCATTGTATTCAGGAGAATAATTGTTAATGTAAGAAAGTGTAGGTTCAGTGTAATTTGAGGTAAAATGTGAAGTGATACTTAGATTGAGCATAGAATTGGGACTTATATTTTGTTTTTCATGCTGCTTATTGTTAGATATAAAGTCAGGTTTGTCATAAACATATGTTTCGTCATTATCATTATCAAAGTAATTCAAAGTTGTTTCATCAAAATAATTTGGTGAATCATATATGTTATAGAAGGTGTTTGCCTGTTCTTGATTTGATGAAGAAATCAAAACACTGTCTGAAAATGGAGAAAAATTGTCACTACCCGTAGATTGTTGACCATGAGTGTCATTGTAATAATGTGTGGAAGGATTATAAAATTTATTTTGATTGTAACTAATTGTTGGTAGTGGTGTAAAATTATTTAAATTATAAAGGATTTTAATTGATCCATTTTCTCCAGTACGATAAGAAACTTCATTTGGATCCACCCAAACACTTAAATCACAGGAAAAGGCAGATTTCAAAGTGTTAATATCAATGTCTGCATCCAATGCTGCTTCACGTACAACTTCGTCAATTTTACTATTGCCAATTGTTATACAGCGGAAAGCTGATCCTTTAGATGAATTTTCAGGATACCAATGACCATCAAATCTTGATATTAAACGATTTTGAAGTTTTTCACTAAATTTTAAAACTTTGTATCTTGGTAATTTATTGTGAAGGAATGAAATTAAAAATTCTAAAGCGATTTGTATTTCACTGAGCATTTTTGGCGATAGAGATGGTAATGGATTTTTTTGTAATGACTATTTTTTTGGTGTGAGAATTGAAGCATATATAAACTTCAATCTTTCCTATAATTTTTATTCAGTTTGGATGATTTTACAAAGCTAAAATATAAAAATTAAACAATATTTATAAAAATATTATACCTTCACAAAAAATTTTCAAAGAACAGGTTATTATATTAAAGTTACTATACGCATGCGCATCAAAAATGGCGATTTTACGTCATTAACAAAGAATTATTTATTTTATTATGACGTATTTTTTTATTGGAATTTTAATTTTTAATCAAATCACACGTAAGCAATGAAGCTTGATTAATAAAATATTATAATTTGCAGTTTTGATGCCATCTTGGAAAAGGAGAAACATCGCGAATATTTTCTATATGTAAAATATGCATAAGTAATCGCTCAAGGCCAATTCCAAATCCACCCATTGGTGGAAATCCATATTTTCTCATATCTAAATACCATTTTAATGACTCAAATGTCTTGTTTGATCTAAGTTTATTAAGCAATATGTCATAATCGTCTTCTCTTAGGCTTCCCCCACAGATTTCTCCTACTATAGGAAAAAGAAGGTCTAAGCAAGCAGCATTATTATTTTCATTTTTTTTCATATAAAATGGTTTTAATTTAACAGGAAAATCTAATATGAAAACTGGCATATCATTACAATATTTAACAATAAATGCTTCATGTTCTTTTGAAAAATTTTCACCTTCAATAAATTTTGGTCTAAATTTTTCATTGTTTAACAATAAAATTTGTGAAGCTTCACTATATAACATTTTGACAAATAGGTCTTTACAAAGGATCTTTTTGTGACCAACCTCAAAATCAATATTTTTATTGTTATTTTTGGCTATTATTTCAAAATATTTTAAAAAATCAGGTGAATTTGCTAAATAATTATATAGGCCTTTGATACATTCTTCGACAATAATGCAAATTGAATTCACATCATAAATAAAGGGCATTTCTACTTCAAGCATCCAAAATTCAGCTAAATGAAACCTAGTATTTGAATTTTCTGCTCTAAATACAGGGCCAATTGTATATACATTTCCCAACTTAGCTGCAATAGATTCAAGGTGTAATTGAGCTGAGACAGTTAAATATGTTGAATTTCTAAAAAAATTATCATTTGGTGATAAATTATTGTAATTGTGATAAATTTGAAAAGATTGATTAGAACCTTCACAATTGTTAGTAGTTATAATAGGGGTATGAACATTTAGAAAATTTTTTGTATTAAAAAAATCTGATAGATAAGAACAAGTCATATTCCTAATTTTTAGAATTGATGCAAATCCACCATGTCCTGATCGAAGATGAGGATATTGTCGAATATATTCTAAAGAATGAATTTGATTGTGTTTAATTGGATATGTTAATGGGTCAGAAACCTTAATAATTTTTATATCTATTTCTTTACATGATATTTCAACATATTGACCTTTAGTTGGACTTTGTATAACATGGCCAATGATTTTAACCAAGGTTCCATATGGATAAGATGGTGTTGGTAATTGTTTATGATCTATAACAATTTGTAATTTCTCATTTGTAGACATATCTTGAAGATCAACAAAGCTATAATTTTTGCCTTCCCTTACAGATTTTATCCAACCTGTTAACTCAACTTTATTTTTAATGAATGAATCAGGAGATTTTAATATATGATTTATTGTAGTTAACTTTCGAATTTTATTTAAAAAATATCTACTGAACAAAGTATAATGTATCATAATTTCAACTTATAAATTTTCTAAATTATTTATCTTCCACCCAACTGTTTACTTGAAATGAATTATAAAACATTAAATAAAATGGAAAATGATCACGTGCTTATAATACTTGAAAATTTATATAAATTATAGTTTTTTTTAAAGTAGTTATTTGATATCACAAATATGGAAGTATTTAATATATGCTAATAATTTAATTTGTAATTATAGCATTGTTCATAATTAAATCATAAAAATAAGCATTAAATATGTATTATAAGAATAGAAAAATTTTTCAAATTGAAATTTCGGCATCGTTTTCCTCTCTCATAGTTATGTTACTGGCTCTGAGTGTTATGGAAGTGTCTGGAATGGTATGGTCTACCCAGGGTTGGGCAAATATTTATAAAATTGTATCCTGACAGTAACATGGCAGAATGTTCACTGGATTCAAACCTCCTTTAAAAACCTATTCCTACCCCTCTTAAAATATTTCTACATCTTGGGCGGCGATATTTACAAGCTATCCTTTAGAACATAAATCCTATTAAATACCCCTATATTTACAATGTATCAGAGGACTACATTAGCTTCTACAATTTCAGGGTGATAACTAAAAAAAAATTCTGGAGGCTAAGCCCCCCATACCCCCTATTTTGCGGGTTTTTTTTAATTGAAATTTGCAAACTTTGAACAATCAATTAATCTTAGCAACTGTTAAAAGATGTGCTATATTATCATAATTTTTATTTATTTTACATATCAAAATACACAGCACTATAAAATACACAAAAGAATCAATATAATAAATTGAACTTAATTTCCGATAATCTTCTTTTCAAATATTATTATTATAATCAGATTTATATAAACAAAATACAACCTTAAACAAATTCCTTCTTAAAAACTCCCCAAAACTAGTGTTGTTAAATGGTTGGTTTTTTTCGACCACGACCCCGGAAGTCGTACAAATCATATTTCTTTCTAAAAAAAATAAAACTAGGAATTGGTAGTCTCTTAATTGGGCATGGTTGGCAAACGGAATTGATTATTTCTTACGGAAATTACTGATTACCATATAACTATTAAACATGTCCTTTATACTTGAAATTAAATATCACTTAAAATAATTTAGTCACCACCACCTTCGGGGACCTAAAAATAATACATTATGATGACATGTATTTATATCGTTTTTCTCTTTTTAAACATATTTTTAATATTTTTTTCTTCAGATTTTTTTTAGAGTGTTTGACCAGGTCAAATGACTGAATTTGATTTGTCAATGCATAAATTTTATGAGTTAATACAAAAATTATATAAATGTTATAATTAAGAATTCATTTTATGAAAAAATTTGATTATGAGGTAACTTTTCTTTGAGATTTGGATAATTCATTTAGAATCAAATTTTTATCTATAATAATCTCCTTATAAATATTTAATAGGGTTACATTTAAATGTTTTTTACCGGTGGTATCTCTAAAATAAGTTTTTAACCTTTTTAAAGTTGAAAAAGATCTTTCATTAGTGAAGATACGAATTGGTAGGGAAGCTAAAATAATTAATAATGTTTTGATATTTTAGGCAAGGAATCTAAAGTGCAATTACACATGGAAAGAGCTTGCATAGCATTTTTTAGTTTTAAAGAATACTCTATTCTGTCAAGATTTTTTACCAAAATTCGATATAAAAAAGTAACTATCATATGTGAGACTACTGCATCAGCGTAAAAGATTTTCTTACTATCCTCTCGTGTTTCAAATGTAATTGTTAAACAGTGACACTCATGTATTTTATCTTAACTTTAAAAAATTGTTTTTTTTTTGTTTTTTTACTTTATTACTAAATTTTATATTTTTCTAACATGTATTTATATCAATTCACAATCAATTAACCTAAAAATGTTAATGCTAAAAATGGTTAATTTAATAATAATAACAAATTAATGTATGAATGTATATAAAAAACAAATTTAATGATTCTAAATATTGTCCATCTCTAACATTCCACCCTCCAAAGAAATCCAGCCTAGGTCTCTTTGAGTGCCGAAAAATCGTCCCGATGTTCTTGATTTTTTACTATTATTATCGTTTCATATGTCACTTTGCTTTTATCTTTTAGCGTTGTCTTGCTTTTGTCACGTTTTATCGTTGGCTTGTTTTCACCTCGTTGGTTTGTTATTAACGTTTCGTCTCTTTGCTTATTTGTTTTTGTTCACCTTCCATAGTCATTATTATCATTTTTTTTTATTATTTTTCAAATCATTATCATTATTATTAGTTAATCAAGAATAATTAGGAATCATAAGAATAGATCCAATTGAATATAAGAATCGATCCAATTGAATATAATCATCATTTAGAAAATAATATTGAATTTGTAAGAATGTATAAAGAATCGCGTTTTAATGTTTTTTTTTTATTATTTGTGTCGCGTTTTATACAATTTTTTATATTATTTATTTTGCGTTTTATATCGTTTTTTTTATTTGATGAAATTTTTACTTTTTCAATGACTCTACTATCGCTTAACGAACATTCATTTTGTAAAATACATAATCTACTTACCCAATTGATGTAACTTTCATTTTTACCTTATACAGCTGCATTGAATAATAACAATTTCGAACTTGTAGATTTCCTCGGGTGTAATAACCTAAATTTTTCAATCAATATCGATGGATTGATGAAATCGGTAGGTGAACATATCGATTTGAGCTTGATGTATTCTTCGTCTGGTAGTCTTCTTGTGAAGGATCCTGCTTTTTCGATATCAGAGATCTGAGCATCGTTGAATATGTCTTCGAAACGACTTAGAAAAACATCGCCATTACCTGTGTATGTTGGAAATTCAATATTAATATTAACGTTATTATTTGAGGTCTGTTTCATAATTTATAATTTACAATATCCTTGAATTTTTCTATTTTATAGTATTGGATTTTATAAAAATTTTAAGAAGTTAATTTATATTTAATATTTTAGAAAATTTTAATTTAATATGCTGCCACCATGAAAAGGTTGCAGAAATTAAAGGCAGAAATCAAATGTTATAAACGTATATTACGTCAATTTATTGATATTTAAATTTAAAAAATATAATGATCACATAATTCAAAATAGTTTCCTATATATATTGACAATTTAATTTAATGTAGTTTATAATAAATTGATCTTTTTTTTAAAAGTTAAAAATAAAAAATGAACATTAGTTTATTAAGTAAATTGATTTATAAAATATAAAATTTAATATTACAAAAAGAAAGAAACAATTCTTATTACATTTGAATATATTAAGTTACGCCATAAATAGCTTAAGGATGTAAAAAAAAAAAGAATTTTTTAAAGTTAAGATAAAATACATGAGTGTCACTGTTTAACAGTAATCAACAGTTAGACTCGACAGGCTAAAGAAAATAAAAGCTTTTTAATATAAAAATATGAATAATATTCTTTTCTTTAATTGAAATAAAAAT